ATTTTTTCTGCTCTCAGTAAGTGAGCTTTCTTCCTTTATTCCCTCTAAATTGACTAGGAAGCACAGTATCAGGCTGGTTGTCCTTCATATTCTCCACCTCGTTCTTTGCTTACAGTCTGCTGAGTATTGACCACATATGTGAAGTGATGGACTTTGTGCCAAAGACTCTGGTGTGGTCACAGCAATAAATGTCTCTGCAATGGTTAGACAGCTTTCAGGGATTTGATATACCCCACCAGTTGAAAAATGAACTTAGAAGTCTGAAAAGCCACTCATATGTCAGATCTGATGACAGTAGTAGGTCACTCTTCAATTCATAGTAACAGAAAGTAGTCTGAATTCCCCACCTGGATTTCTTAGTAAAATGAACTATTTCTTATATTTTTCTAACACACTCAGAGGAACATAACATGCAGTACACGTTTCCTTGGTACCCATCAGTTGTGCCTGTCTGAGTCACTTGACAAAATATTTTCTCTGATCATATATTTCATTTTTAGTTACATCAATAGCAAGATATTTTAAGGGAAATAATAATAATAATGCAGAAGGAGGGCAGTGAGAGACTTTCCAGTTTCTCCTGAGAGACTATCTTGACAGGAGGAATTTGATGCCTCTGGGAAAACAGAATTCATTTACATTAACTCTATATGCAATTGTAATGACAAGGCCTTAAAACAGGCTCTGAGATTTGGTACTTTTTTTTTACTGCTCTGTTCTAGTTCCTATTGAGCTTTCCTTATTCTTAGGGTGAGGGGAAGAAGAGCCACGAATTCTGCTGGTGAACATAAAATAACTTATTCATAATCCCTACGCAGTTATCTACTATCACTAGCAGAAACAACAGTGCTAAACTTTTCCAATACATCCTAGATCAAATCAAACCAATTAATTTTACAGATTATTTTAAAGAACTTACAGCCTTCTTGTCTGAGTTGGATTTGAACTGCATCCAGCATCTTCCAGAGCCTCATCCACAGCCTGGTGTGCCTGCAGGACTTCACTGAAGTCCATGCTTGGTGTCAGGCTATGTCCACAAAAGAGAGTGTTCAAACTGAACGGTTCTGTATAATGGGTGTTTACTAGCAACATCTAAGGTCTGGTGACCTGTTCAAACACCTGTGCCCACCACCCTAGCCATTTTTTGAGCATTTCAGCCATAGCAAGTTAGGAAGCACCCAACCAGCTGTTTTCCAATGCAACATTCTGTATTGCCTGAGGCTGAAGATTTCTCTAGACAGAAGTGTGCCTCAGACTTAGATGCTGCAACATCACAGGGCTTTGGAGAAACCAGCCTTTAAAACAAAATTGTGCAAAGCACTTGCATATGAAGTTATACATAATACAATACTCCTAGAAAATCTATACAACAGAATACTCTTGACTTTGGATTTTCAATCACTCAGAAAACCTCAGAGTTAGGATAGTTCTCTTGCTTATATGTGTTTATTTTTTTTCAAAATCAGTTTGTTTTCAAGCTTGCAGTCTCTCCTCTGCCCCACCACTTTACAGCTTTCCCCTCAGTTCTCTCCATGAGCATCCCACCCACTACCTACACTCCTCCCTCTTGGCTGCTGCTTTGTGTCATTTTTCCCTTTCCTTTGGCAGACCTCACCACCAACCTCGGCAGCTCCCTCTCAGAGCTGGTTTGTGCAGATCACAGTCTGTTCCTGTCTCTTCCCCCAAATCTCTTTTTTCCACTCTCTCTCTGGAGGAGAGAGCTACTTTACTCTGAATACTCCAGTATTCAGTTGCACCAGCTAACAGTCATACAGTAGCTTAAAATAAAAAAAGAAAGACTGTCTCCAATTACATGTCTGCATGTATTAGATACATGCAGCATCTAATACACAAAGAAATACAACACATTGAAGGCCCAAAACTGTTGAAGAGGAAAAAAGAAACACCATCACTTTAAAGATCTTTGTTGTTTGCCTAAGATGTGTCCTTCACAGACCTGACTGGGCACAAAAGGATTCAACATAAATGAAAAACTGCTAAACTGCTTCTGATCTGCAGATCATATTGTCCTGCTGACAGATCATGCATGTGAAGTAGAAGAGCTGATACAGGATAGTGAAACCAGCAATGAACCTGAGAAAATTGAGAAGGCGCAGCTGGAATATAAATGGACAAAAAGCAGCTTCCAAAAAGGAAAGGCAAAAGCAAATGAAAGAAAATAAATAGGGGAACAGATAAATGCCAGAAGTAATAGTATCCCCCACAAACATAGGATGCTTCCTCCAAAATGTGTGCATGAGGGTTTGAGCGTGTACTTATCTTTCATCAGATTAGCAAGAACATGAAATAGAATAATGCCGATATAAATTACCAAAAGTACTAAAATGGATGTTTTATCTATGATAGGTTATATCCTCATTCAGAGGTATTTAAACCCTGATTAAATGGAACCCTGAAACATCTGTGGAGAGTCAGATTGAATCATCCTTCAGGGCACAAGCACTACATGTTTTCATTACATTTCAATTATGTAGCCTGTCCAGATCTTAAGGATTTACACTGGTTTTTTAATCGTATATTTCTTTAGAGTTGGACATGGATGTAATGATAATGTTAGTGCAGTAGACAAATGTTGACAAGAATAAGCAGCAAAATTTGAAGCGAGCCATTCATTGGCTTACCTATGGATAAAAAAACCCCGATTGTTTTCTTTCTTAATGTCTGACAAAGACACTGATTTCTGAAAGCCGTGTTTTAGAACTGTTGATTAAATCTCCTACAAGTGAAAACCGTTGGTTAAATCTCCTACATATGTTTACCTGGGTAGTTGCATCAAAGAGCCACAGTCACTTGGATCTGATTCTGAATGTGTAATTTGTCCAGGCGAAAAAAGTTTTTTAGAAAGTCTGCAGCCTTCTTAATGAAATGTAGAAAATGCATAGAGAAGTGGAGGGTAATCTGGTGAAAAGACAGATGAACTCAAGATACCGAGGGAAAGATTGATCACAAAGCAGAATTGCAGAGAAGGGAGATGAAACACTAGAAGCAGATAAGTTTATCTAGTGAATGTGTAGAGGAAGAAAGCAAAGACGATAACAGATCTAGAGACAAAGACAATGGGATGGTAGCTGAAGAGGAAGGTTGAGAGATGATTTTTTTTCTCAGACGTTCAATGACAATACTGTATTCTTCTGATGTTGGCAAGGTGACGGTGCAAAAGCAGTTACTGCAGCAGGTAGGAGGAGAATCAAGACGCCTTGTTAGTTTTGCAATTAAAACAGCAGACTGGTACTCCTGAAACCTGCAGTTTTGCTTCCTGGTTATGTTTGAAACTTTGGTTTTCTCGGGCAAGGCAATACTTCTCTCTTCAGTTTCCTATTTATAAACTAGGGTGATTGATAGTAGTTCTTTTCTATCATCTTCTTCTCAACTTGTTTGTCTGAGTTAAGGCAGGAACCATATCTCAGTGCATGTCTGCCTAGAGGCTAGCAGAGTAACCTGGCCCCAACAGGGACCATTACATAGGAGTGTCGCTGTAACCACTGGTATAGTAAGGCAGAGAGGATCAGGAAAGCTGAAGAAGCTGCCAAAAAGCTTGATATCAGGCACTAAAAGTGATTACTTAAAAATACATATTTGGGTTCTTTTATTTCCTTTCTAATCCTATCAAGTGTACTCAAGGCACATTTCAGCTTATTTTTTATTTATTCCCTTGAATCTTTCTTTTACTTCAAAAGAAAGTGGTTATTCTCATCCAAGAGCTTGGGCTTTCTGAAAAACACGAGCTCTCATCAGACTTTTGATAAAATCATAAGAGCTGGAAACATTGAGAGTTCCTTTTGTTTTAATAACCTCTCTTTCATGAATATTTACTTCTCATTTGAATAATTATCATCAATAAAAATTAAAAACTTATGTTTGTGGGGAGCGCGAGCAACTTTGGGATTAAAATGAGTGACAACCCTCAAAAATGAGGGCTATTAGAGGGTTATCTTTCTTACAGGCAGAGCTCTCTCTGCAAGAGCATTTCGAGTCTGGAGTGCTACAAGACCAAGAAAATGGAGGAGAGAAATTCTGCAAAAGAGAAGCAGAACTGGGAAAAAGCTCCTGTTTGGTTCATCTACGGTAGCAGTTGTATAGCTTTAACTATTAACAATGCTATGAAAATGATGGAGTTTCTAATATCATTAACAATTCTTTTAATCAGTGGGTTTAAATTATAGTTCTTGTTCACTTAATTTGCATTATTTGCTATTTGCCTGTGCAAACAAGATGCTGTTTTCAGCAATGGTTTGCCAAGAAGCCTGCGAGGACATGCAGGATTGTGATGTATCACACACATGACAATGTAAACCACAGAAAAATATGAACAAAGAGGAAAGACAAATGTACGCTCTTAGAGCGCTAAAGTTACAGAATGCCTAGAGATGAGGAACAGCTAATTTAGGAGAAAATGGGCTATAATTTGGAGAAAATGTATAAGTTTGATTTGTAATTTTCAGGTAAAATGTATGAACTCTGTATTTATCAAACTAAAGTTCCATAAAGCTAGCTGGACTTTTTTTTATATGGAGATAACTACAGGCATTTATTAAACTTGATAATCTTGCATTCAAAGAGAGCTCCTGCTGGGTTTAGATGAGGCCTGTTTCTTCCCATATAAGCTGTTAATTAAGCACCTGGAACAGAAATGTTGTCAGTGGCAAGGCTGAGGCATCACCTGCTTGAAGGGATGTGAAGTTGTCAAAGGAGGATCTCTCAGCCATTTTAGAGACCAGAAGGACGCTGTGCCTAGATGCCAAACTACAAACAAATCTGAACAGTGGGGAAATTGTAGTAAGGAATGAGGCACGCATATTTTATTGTGTTGTCTTGCTCTGTTTGTTGTGTTATTTAAAACAAAGAGTAATTGTGGGTTAAACTGCTTGAATACTCCATGCAATTACACTTGGACTCTGAGTGGAAATCGTTAAGTCTGGGGAGCACTCACTATGTTAGGAGTACCACAAAGATTGCACATGGTGTGCCTCAAGGTAGACATGGTCAATGTGGACATACCATGCAGTGGCTGTGGCCACAGGGCTGTGGAAGGTGAGGCTGAGCCATGGAGGTACCTGGAAGGGTGTTGAGTGCCATGTGGGTAGTGTGCTTTGGTTTCAGTGCTGATGGAGGAGTCTGCACAAGCAGGGAGAAAAAGAAGCCAGACCAATTCCTGGGTCGTTACATTATTTACACCTTCGTGAACTGAGTGACAACAGAGATCTGTGCTCAAACTGGGCAGTGTAACAGTATCATGTTTTGAGAAGATGGTTTTCTACCTCTTTGTCCTCCTGCTGTGTCTTACTTTACACATACAATGTGAGTGTGTACCTAATTTGCAGGGTTTCCTTACAGACAAATAATATCTGCGGTCGATGACAAACTGGACATGAGCCGGCAACGTGCGCTCGCAGCCCAGAAAGCCAACTGTATCCTGGGCCGCATCAAAAGAAGTGTGACCAGCAGGTCGAGGGAGGTGATTGTCCCCCTCTACTCCACTCTGGTGAGACCCCACCTGCAGTACTGCATCCAGCTCTGGGGCCCCCAACATAAGAAGGACATGGACCTGTTGGAGCGAGTCCAGAGGAGGGCCACGAAGATGATCAGAGGGCTGGAGCACCTCTCCTATGAAGACAGCCTGAGAGAGTTGGGGTTGTTCAGCCTGGAGAAGAGAAGGCTCTGGGGAGACCTTATTACAGCCTTTCAATATATAAAGAGGGCTTATAAGGAATATGGAGAGAGGCTTTTTACTAAGGCCTGTAGTGACAGGACAAGGGGCAGCAGTTTCAAACTGGAAGAGGGTAGATTTAGCCTGGACTTATGGAAGAAATTTTTACAATGAGGGTGTTGAGGCACTGGAACAGGTTGCCCAGAGAAGCCGTGGATGCCCCATCCCTGGCAGTGTTTGTGGCCAGGCTGGATGGGGCTTTGAGCAACCTGGTCTGGTGGAACGTGTCCCTGCCCGTGGCAAGGGGGTCGTACTAGATGACCTTTGAAGGTCCCCTCCAACCCAAACCATTCTACGATTCTGTATCAAAGCCTCTACTGCAGTGCCGCATCCTGATGCCTGTCCCCTCATCGGCCGCTCTAAGGGTACGCCCGGCTGTTCAGTGCCTGGGATGGCAGCAGAGCCCTGCTGTTACTTAGGAGGAGGATGTGAGGAGACGAGGGCCCTTCTCTGGGCAACGCACCTCAGACGCTTCTGCACGGCCCTGGGCGGGCGTCTGTGGTGCGACCCACGCTCTCCTCAGCAGGCGAGCCCTCCTGCCCGGGCACCGCGGCCCTGCCCGACTCTGTCGGGGCACTTCGCCGCCTGGAGGCGGACCTGGGTCCCGGCGCCGCTCCGCGGGCAGGGCCGCGCTAGGCCGCGGGCGG